AAACCCCAAGATTCTCTAATCAGAGCCAGATGCAAAGTCTGGAGCAGAGTGAATTACCTGTTAATCTCATGAAACACACCCCATATATGAAAATACAGTTCTAATCCAAATTACTATACAGATTGAAACACAAAAGTCTCAGAGTGGTTGGTAGAGCTTCACAGAGACTAGATCAAAAGCATGCAATTCATATTCCCATTGTCCAGGTGAGAAACACTGAGGCTGAAATATAACATGGCCAGCCATGCAGAGCTATTTATCATAATGTTCAGTTTTACTCACTGTTGTTTAACTACTGAGAGTCAAAACCTTTGAGCACAGGACATGAACACAATAGCACCCTCCTGCTTGTGTTCCCCAACAATTGGTACAGAGAGATCTCCCACACAAGTAGTTCATACACAAACACAGAACACCACTAATTTTCATGAATGTGTCCACTCCCCATTCAGAGCCATCCACGCTGACAGCCAATGCTACATCTTGGAGCAGTGAATTCCGAAGTTTCACTATGTTGGGGTGCAGAACCTCCAGCCCACGAGGAACCTGAATCTGACAGTCACTTGGGCCCCAAGCCCCACCCACCATAGTCATCTCATCAGAGAGCATACCATCACTGTCCCAGTATCTCCAGTCTGAGATCAGAAAAACCATGAGGATTTTCCTGCTGCTGTGTGCAAGGAAATTAGGGGCAGCCAGGGAGAGTGGCCCCTTTCTCCAGAAGCAGGCATGTTCCCTTCCATTTAGCCCACTCCACCAACTTCCCCCACTGTGGAAAGAAGGCACAGAGCACAAAGTGCCTGGGTCCACTCAGCCCTTCCATCAGAGAACCAAAGCAAAGGAGAAAAGCTTCTCCTTCACAACCCCTTCCCTCGTGGTAGGGAGGAGGCAGAGCATGCAAAGACAGGCCAGAGACAAGGTCGTCTCTGGCCCAGGTGCAGGATGGGGGATTCAGTATCACAAGGCTCATGGGAGGTCATGTGGACTATACCCACATGACCACATACAGCCTGCAGAGGGCAGGGGAAGTATCTGGCCCACTTGCCAAAAAAAGCACTATGTGCTCTATGAAGAAATATTTCTTTTTGTCTCTTGCTATTCAGCTTCATTCAATAAATCCAGGCTCTAGAATTTTAAGAAGTGAAAAAACATCTCTATTCACTTTCTGCATACTAGGCATGATTTTCTACATTTAAATCTACATGATTTTCTACTCCCTATACACACCGCTTTTGCTACACTAAAAAACCCAAAACATAACCTTTCCCCTTAGGGGAGTTGTTCCAGCTTCTTAAATCATATTGGTTGCTATTTTCTGCACCTTTTCCACCTCTACAACACCCTTTTGAGAACTGAAGTCCAGTATTCCACTATGGCCATTCTACAGATTTGGATAAGGATCTTGTGATGTTGGCAGTTTTATTTTTGATTTTTTTAACGACCTGCAACATGGCATTTTTCTTTTCCACATGAGCTGCACACTAGGTTAATATTTTCACTGAGTGATTTGATTTTTAATTGAGTTCCCAGCAGACTTGCATTCCTGTATCGGTGCCGGGCAATTTCGAGGGGTTCAGAAGCTCTTTCATACCCACTTCTCTCTAGGCCGTGCTCTGGCTACTACTGAACCATCAAATTTGGCAGAGAAGTGACAAAATGCTGGTTTGTTATTGCAATTCAGCAGCAAACTAAAGTTAAGAAGGATGACTTTAGCTTATAGTTGTTTTTGCCACTGTGCAGTGCAGCAAGCCAAATTCAGGTTGTCAGTAAGGTCTAGATTCTTGTCACCCTTTATTTGATTCAGTTGCTCAGACTCTGTTCCTGAAAATATCAGGTATCTGCCCTATATTTTCTGCAATGAAGAGAGATACAAAGTGCTCATTCAGTTCCTCATCCTCTTTAATATTCCCTCTTTAACTCTGTAACAGTCTAGCCTGTTTCTAGCTTCTGATAACATTTCTGATATCCTTCCCTCCCAGAGCACTCAGAACCCATCCTGTTCGATGCACTAATCTTGGCTAACATGATCAAGAAAGTGGTGCAGATGCAACTGAATTCAGCTGGATGATACTGATTATCGGGACCCATTTCAATTGGGCCTGCCCACAAGATACAGAACTGAGACCGCTTTGGTTGCCTTAGAGGATTAGTTATGCTGGGAACTGGATAGGGGGAAATGTAATCCTATTACTTGTCCTGGACCTCTTGACAGCATTCGATACCACTGACCATTTTACCTGCTGGAATGCCTGCTGGGTGTTGTTTTGCAGTGGTTTGGGTCCCTTCTGTCGGGATTACTGTCTGACTGCACAGCCATTGACACTGCTGTCCTACAGGGCTCACCCTCCTCTGCCAAGTTGTTTCCACAAAACTGCCAGGAGAGTCCACTTGGAACAATGGAGTAACATGGCACTAAAATGCTGGTGACATCCAGCTCTATTGCTCATTGTCACCTAAAGAAACAGTTGAAAACCTGGAAGATTATCTGGGTTCAACAGTGGGTGAGAGTGAACAAGGGGCTCTCTAAATGCAGGATTTGTTGTTGGTCAGCAGAAATCCTGGCTTGGGGATGATGATTCAACCTGTTCTAGTAAAGGCTGTGCCTTCCCATGGAATCATGTGTAAGTCAGTACGTACACGGATCCTGTGCTTTTCCTGGATCTTCAGGCTGCAGAGGCCACAAAAAGCACGTTTGTGCCGTTATATTTGGTGTACCTGATACAATCCTTCCAGTCTTGGCAACTGTCATTCAAGCCTTGGTTACATTATATTTAGATTACTGCAATGCGCTCTACCTGGGGCCAGCCTTGAAGAGCTCTCTGAAGGCATAGCCGGCGCAAAATGCAGCCGCCAGACCGTTCGCCAGTGAATGGTATCAGGATCCCATCACACCTGCCTTGAAAATCCTGCACTGGTTGACAATTGCTTTCTGGATACAATTCAAGGAGTTGGCTTTAACCTTTAAAAGCACAAAACAGCTTAAGACTTGGCTGTCTAAGGGACTGCCTGCCTTGTAATGAACCTAGTATTAGGATTGCGGGAGACGCTCTTGAGGACACAATTGCCAGTAGAGGCCCATTTCTCAGGCACACATGAAAGGCTTTTTCTTCTGTGCTGCTCTCAATTTGCAGAGCACACTCCCTCAGCGGCTATGATTGGCCCTCACTTGGCTTTTAGAAAGGGTGTGAAGATTCATTTCTTAAATCTAGTCCTTTAAACTATGTGGTTAATGTTCTAATATCTTACTGATTGTATTGTTCTTGTAATTAATTTCTATGTATCACCTTAATTTTTAACATATATGGCAGTAGATAAATGTTAGTAAATAATGTAGATGATGTTAAAGTTAGTATAAAATAATATAGATTATTTTATTCATATATGAAGATATACTTAACTTTTTGTACCCTTACAGACATATAAGGGAGACTGAGCTTGGGGTTTTAATATATGGCTTCAAGTTACATTTGTGAATGCAATTTTAGGAGATTTAATTTTCCAAACATTGGAGGTAACCCCCCCCTTCAAAATTAGGAGATAAAAATGTACTGTATTTTCATCAAACTATGGTGTGAATGTCTCACTGCTCTACACATAAACGCGTGCACACGTACCAGAATTCTTTGGATTATCAAAGCCATATTCTCTTTAAATCTAATCTCTGCCACATTTGAGATACGGTAAGTATAACCTAGCAGAACATCAGACTGTGGACATTGTTGTTTGTGATCATTCTCACTGTAAACCATTTTGCAGATTCAAAAAACAAATCCCAGAGAAATTATTACAATATTTAGTATAGTGATTTTGCTAAAGGTTTCAAAGCCTTTCCTATAAATTTCTCCAGCAATCTCTGCAACACCACTGCAAGGCAGGGCAGGAGACTCTTGTTCCTATAGATGTGGAATCTGCAGCTGAGGCTGCCCAGGGATTTCACAACTGAGCCAACATTTGAACTGGGCCCTTTCCCGCTTGGAGCTTTTGCTCCACTAGCACCCCTATCAAGCTTTTTGGGAAGCTCCTCACTTCCCTGACTCAGCCTTCAAGCTTTCTTTGCCTCAGTCCTCCTCTCCAAAGCCTTATCATAATACTCATCTTCAGCTGGAAACTTCACCTTGATACATTAGGTGGGAATGAACAGTGGAAGCTTTGGCTTCCTTTCCTATCCGTTAGATCTCCCAAAGAAGGGTCTAAACCCTTCCCCCTCCATTGCTCCCACCAGTCAACCCCAGAAGACTTGTATGAATGATTCTTTTCCCCAGCAGAAGTACCATTCACACACACACACCCCCATCGTGAGCAGTCTCACCAGCTGCACCCAGTCCCAGCAAGGGCCCGTGCGCCCCTCACTATCTTTTCAATGTCTGCCATCAGCAGGTCAAAGAAGGGAGATGCCACTCTCAGGGTTTTCGCCAGACCTCCTTCTCTGCCCCCCTCAAAAGCTCTCCTTCATGCTGGGGCTATTTCTTCAGATCACGGCTTCCAAATCAAAATGACTATGCCAGAGAATGTGTGGAAATGTGTCCAAGCACCCCATAACCAGCAAGCAACCCATATTCCCAATCTGGTTCCGCTACCCAAAGATTAGTACCCAGTGAGTCCTCTTTCCAGGGATGCATGGAAATCATGCCCTTGGATATGGCCTCCCTGTGCTGAGGTTTTGATTTTGAGATGAAAAATACTTTGCACATACTCAGAGATACTCCTTTTGTTCCAATATCAAGTCACATATTCTGGGGCCGATGATCTCTTGCATTCTAAATTGGCTCCAACTTCCAAGGCTCAAATGAAGACGCGTTTTTCTGTTTAGTCGTGCCATCACCAGCCCCCGGATCTTCCCCTTCTTTTTGACATTCCAAACGCTGCCATGCCTTTTCCCTTGACGGGGGGATCCCGAAACATCGCCGCTGCGCATTTATCTCCCCCATCCCCGCTCCCGCCCCTGCCACCCTTAGGAGTGCCCATGGCTTTCGGCCCGGGGCCCATGCTGCGTGTCCTACCTGAACCACAGCCATGCCCATGGGGAGCTGTCGGGTCCCCTCCTAGCCTCTCCAGCAGCCTGCCCAGCAACCGATCGGGGCTCTCGGGTTCCGCCAGCGGTGCCCAGCAGCAGGTGGGCACCGAGTCGGGGCTAAGCTGGGTCTCGCCACTGCCGCCACCCCCCGGGGACAGCTCTTCGGACGAGAAGGACGTTGGGGAGCGCAGAGCAGAATCGGGGGGCCGCAGCTCCAGCCAGTGGCCGTCGCCAGAGGTTTCCATGCCGCCTTCAGGCAGATCTTCGGATGGCTCTTTGAGGAATCCGGGCAGCAGGATCTTGGAGACGCTTTGCCGGCGGGGTAGCTGCCCTCCGGTCCCAGGGCCAGCCCGGGCAGCCAAGTGAGAGCCTTGCTTCTTCAGAAATTTCTCCAAAGGCTTCATCCCGCCGGCCACGGCGGGGGGACCCAGGGGCGCAGCAGGGCCCCAGGACGAAGGGTGCTCCAATGCGCCCCCCTCAGCCTTGGCCAAAATTGGGGCTCCGGGGTGGACCACTTCGCGCGCTTGAGGTGGGGGTGGAGACGCGTGATTAGCGAGCCATCGTTGTGCCAGACGCTGTGGAGAGATCTGTGGAGTAACAAGGTGGCAGGGAGGGACCTGCCTCCTGGGACGAGCGAAGTCAGCGGAGTGGGAAGGGCAGCTCTGGCCAGTCTTACAGCGCGTGGAAAGGGATTGGGGTGGGCGGAGTGGGTCCCCCTCCACTCAGCAGCGGCTCAAGGCTGGAGGCTCAAGGCGCCCCCGATGGCGCTGCGCTCCGGCTGACTCCCGGCGTGATAAATGATGCTGCGGGAGGGACAGAGGGGTCGGCGGCGATCTGGTCGTCTTCACTTTAGCCTCCACGGAAGCAAGGTGCTGGCAAATCCCCTCGGAGATTCAGCGCCGCCGCCACCGCCGCCGCCTCCTCCGCCGCCCTCTGCAGAGCCAGGCGCGCGCCCTCGGCCCCGGCAGGGTTTCCCCGGAGCCGATGAGGGGGCTCGCTCGGAAGCAGCCGCCACCACGCAGCCTCCTAAGCCTCTGCCACTCCGTGCGCCCTGTGCTCTCGGTCTTCGCCAGGCTGCTGCACGCGAGGTCCTGCTTTATAGATGCTCATGAAAGCGGGGGAGGCAGCCACCGGCGGCAGCAGGCGCGGGGGCTGAAAGCTGCCTCTCTGCCGGGCAGTTCGCATGGGGGAGGCTCGCTGCTCGACAGCCCTCTTCCAGCAGGAACCCTCCTTCTTCTTCGCGCCTCCCGGCTTGGGAAGAAGCCCGAGTCGCGAATCGGCAAGCTTCCTTCGCAGCAGTCAGTCGCGTTCCCTCTCCTCCTCCTCCTCCTCCTCCTCCTCCCCGGGAGAGGCGCGAGGCAGCGCCAAGCCCCGCCCCGGCTCTCCTCCCCGTGCTCCGCCCCCCCGCGCGTCCCCTCCCTTTTCTCTTTTGCTTGCACTTGTTGCATGGAGCGGGGAAGCCAAAACACACACCTTGATCTTGGGCTGTTAACTGGCATTAAACACGAAACAAAATGTAATGGAAAATCAGGTTGGTCGAGTAATGTTGCAAGTTTATAATTGGGGTTTATTCGCGTCTTGATGCAAACATTGCGCCCAGTTGCTTGGAATAAAACAGTTTGGCTGGTTAAAGTTTCCTGAATGATTATGATCTTCAACGCTGTCTCCCCCCTCGTTATTATTTAAGGTGTGCATGTGTTTTGTACCTTCATACTGAAGTGTGAACTTTTCAACTGTTAAAGCACAATCTGATATTTTCTTGGAGACTTTATCCATCTGTGAAGTGGATTCTTGTCTACAGAAGCACAATAAGTATGAACCATAACACTCTTTGTTACTTTGCTTTCCTCGTGTGATAAGTATCTATTGTGTTGATAATTGCATCATAATTGTTTATCATGTAAGTTTTTTTAAGACAGCAAATCACAATATGATCCTCTGCATAGTGATTGAGCACTAAATCATATTGAGTGGCTGCTTTTTCCAGTGAAACTTATAAACAACTGGATATCCCTACCATTCCTACGATTGCAGCACGAAGGAAGGAATCCATGAAGAGCCAGTGTGATGCAGTGGTGAGAACGCTGGAATAAGAGTCGGGATCTGCGTTCCAGCCCCAACTCAGCTGTGAAGTTCACTGGGCGACTTTAGGCCCATCACAGCCTAACCTACCTCACAGCATTGTCATGCAGATAAAAACAGAATGGAGAATTATGTAAGCCACCTACAGTTCCTCGCAAGAGGAAAAAAGGTGTTGTATAAATGCAAAGTTATAAAGCATAGTCAGATCAGTCTTTGCTCCCGTTATCCCTAGGACTGGGCCCTGCTGTTAGACCGAGTCTGGCAGCTGCCTCAGGAAGCAAGTTCTAGGTGTGGAAGGAGAGGCTAAAGGGTCTTCCAGACTGCACTACCCCAGTTCTGATCAGGTTGCTGGTTTCCTGCCACCATTAGCACTGGGAACTCAGGGATCAGGGTGCTGAGGGAGTGGGGGGGTAAGTCTCCTTCATAGGAACAAGGGGCTGCAACTGCCCCTCCTCCCTGGATTCCACCATGATCTCATTCTGGGAGCAGAAGTGTCCTTCAGACTGCACAGCTCTGTCCAATCCATCTCAGGACTGCAGCCTACCAGGCCCTTTCTTTGGTAGCCTGTGGAAACACCCTCCTCAAAATTAAAGATACAAGCATCAGTATCAATGCATTGAATTATTTTTTGATCCTTGTATCATTGCCTCTTCTATGTAGTTTTTACTGTCCTTATTTTCCAACAAATTGTTCATTTTAAAAGCCAGTCCATTTTTTGAGAAGAATGCATGTTCTTATATACCACAAGCCACAGAGAAACTTGAGCACTACTGTGGGAAAGGCAGGTTACATATTTAACTCGAGAGCAAGCAAGCAAGCAAGCACGCATGCCCAAGCAAAATGGTACCCATCCAACTACTGGCTATGTTTCCTATTAGCTATCTTATTTCCTATACTGGCTATAAGAAAAATTCCCAAATTCATAAGTGTCATATTAACCCATGTCCAAAGTAAAAAAATACGCATGCTTTTGTGATTTCCAGCTTTCTTCATCAGCCAAGATGTTACAAAAAGAAAGTGGGGATGTGGGGAGGCGGACGACGTTGAAGTCACAATGGATTTCTGAACAATGAGAGTTGTAAGCTGAAATGAGGGAGGACGGGGTGTATGCGACATTAGTCCTACACAGAGTAGGATACAAAGTTGTCCCATTGTTACTGCAATGAATGGGACCAGTTAGACTAAGGTTGCATACATCCCTTCAGACACAATTCAGACTTTGCATTTTGAAGGTCTGTAATCTGAATGACTGCAAAGTATGCCTTTAATGTACTGCTGTGAGCAGTGAGGAGTTCCAGACACAGTTTTTGTTTGTTTCCTCAAGAGAAGATAGAAGAGTGACAGCATCTTTTTTCATTACTTACAAATACATAAACAGATGATAAGTGGAGGCAAACAACATGCAATTTTTACCAGAATGTTACCTCACATTCGATCTTAAAAGAGAGAAACATCCCGCACCCCCACAGTTCTTAACCTTCAGCTCTGTCTTTGATTCATTCTTTCTGTGTCCAAACAGAGCTTCTTTTGTATGCACACGCTTATATCAGTCCCTGCTCCTTTTTGGACGAAGTCACATTCCCCAAGCTCTGATGGCGTTCCCACTCAGAACTCTCAAGAGAGCTCTCCAACTATTTCCTAGAAGGAAAGTGAGCTCCAACTATTTCCTAGAAGGAAAGTGAGCTCTGTACTCTTTCCCTGTTATCATCAGATAAAAAAATTAAATGTTGGCGTCCAGGGCCGGGCCTTACTCTTCACAGAAGTTAGCCATCCCAAATAAAAATGAGGGGGTGGGAGGCACACACTAATCCCAGTTTTCACACTGGAAACATTTGAGAATCTCTGCAGGCCTGTAAGAATTCTGTTGGCACAGCCCACCATCTGAAGGAGGGGCAAACCAAGTTTGCTGCCCGGTGCAGAAACACACACAGAAAGATAACTGATAGCTCTATCATCACCATGTGGGCAGAGCACTCTCAGTTGCCTCCCACATGCACACAAGTGCACACATTTACACTGTCTGCATTTAGATGGCAACCTCCTTGGGGCAGGATCCTGTAGAATTTCCTCTGATACTCTATAAAGCACCACACATGCTATATTTTCACCAGCAATGAGCAAATAGTTTTCCCATGTCCATGGCCCATCTTGGGGGGTCCATTTTAGGGTCTTCCTCATGTTTTAAAACATTTGAAGTTGAGGGATCGCCTGCTCTTTATTCAAGAGCTGGACTGTCCTCCAACTCTTATTTTAGGATGCAAGAGAACATAAAAAGTGGCTCCCTCTTCACACCCCTACTATGTCACAGACACCCTATTATTAATAATTTTTGGAAGTTTGTATGCTCCCTTTCCAATATCTCACTTCACACACTGTATTTATAAAATGCAACTCATCTGCACCCTTCATCTTTAATAGCAAGTGAAGCTGAAAAAGATGCTCAGGGAGCTATTTTCCCTCCTTAAAAGAATTGAGTTGCAGGATCAAAGATCCATGTAGTGTTCTGTTTCTATCAGCAAACAGCCAATTGCATCTTAGATACTTGCAAAGCAGGTCATGAAAGCTAAAGTTCTTCTAATATCCATTCCTAACATACAGTCTTTGGAGATGCAAGGCTGTGTCTGAATAAGGAAGATCGACTTAGTTATCACGATCTAATCTAGTTAACATGTCCTTGATCATGATCAGAGCTATAATCCAATCATTCCAATAGCTTTTAAAACAGCCTTGTGCCCAGGCATTGCATTTCTGTCATCTCTAATCGTTTGCCATGCTGGCTTGATATGATGGAAATTATAGTTCAGCAACACTGGGAGGCCTAAGGGGGAAAGATGGAACTCAAGTCTGGCACCGATAGGTGTACAGGCAGAGAGGGTTGTCTCCAAAGGATGTGGTGCCTTGGGGAGCAACAAGTATCGTTGCTCCCAACAAATATCATATACCCTTGCAAAGTTACTATGGAAAGACAGCTGCAGGGACTGGGAACTTAGAAGTCCCTCCCAGGACTGCTACTAAACACTGTCCTGCACTACATAGCTTGCTGTGAGCTGAGTTTCCTGAGTGTAATCAATGGGAACTAATAATTAACCAATAATAATGAATGGATTCTGATTGGCTAATGCAGAGATCGCACAGCCCAAAGCATGAAATGTACACTCAGCCTGCACACCACAGCCAGCCCTGACTGCTTGACTATGTAACTATATCATAGATACCTGTTCAAAAGTTTCAAGTGTTAACTGTTCTCTGCAAACAAAGATGTGGAATCTCTGGCCCACAAGCTGAATGTGGCCCACAGAGCTTGCATATTTGGCCTGCAGAG